CCACTCGGCCTGAGCTCAACCTGGCTGTTGCCGCGGACGGGACCCCACTGGACTATCAGTTTGGCCTGTCTGTGGAGATGGCCATGTTCCCCTATCTGTTTCCCTTTGGTGTTGGCGCATTTATGGGCGGCACGACCTTGGTCAAGTACTTAGCATACCGCGCCAAGTGCCTCTTCAGTGTGTGGACATTGTGCAAGCCGTACTTGCTGCTCATGTATGTGCTTCACCAGAGTGCCCGGCTGCAAGAGCAAAATACAGAGGTGAGTGTGATGCGGGCTTGCTAGTGATGCTGCACATGATGCATGCTGGAATGTGGGACAGGGATGCCCGCCCAGCTGCTACCATTTGCAGGTTCTGAGCAGCAACATGCATGTAGAACTTCATGTCATGACCATGACGCCCGCCTGTATGTACAGGCCGTGCTGGAGAGTGTGCTCCTTGACTACAAGTCTCAGCACCCTAACATGAGTGATGAGGATGCCATCCATCACATTCTCAAGCACAAGCTGCCGGCCACGTTGCCCAACACGCCTGCATGGCACCGCAGCAACCTTCAAGATTTGCTGTGCATGGTGCACCGCTTTGGCATGCCGTCATTCTTCCTCACGCTCACAACCGATGAAGTGTCTGCCACACGCTGGCCTGAAGTTGAGTCGCTGGAGCAAAAGCTGCAGGAGTAGGTCGCACGCACTTCAATCTGCATCACTTGGCAAGCATCCTTGCATGGCGCCGTCCGCCTCCTGTCCCCACCCAGCATGCCAGGCAATCACCCATCACCCATGAATGCACTGCTCCGGCTGTGCTGTGCCGTTGTCCTTTGTCTGCAGCTTCTGTGCTGGTTTCACATGGCAAGACACCCCAGCTGAGAACGCATTCATCGCCCACAAGCGCGTGCAGTCCTTCATGACTGACGTGCTGAAGGCGGGCCGGGGGGCAGTCCAGGTCGGCTGGGCCCTTGGCCGCATCACCAACTGGGTGGTGCATTATGAGGTTCAAAACCGCCTGCTGCCCATCCTCCACGTGCACCTGAGTGATGTACTGCACAGTCTCTACCTCTTCTGGACACACCGCTGATACTACATTGGACACAGCCAGCGATGGACACCAGCCGTGCCAGCCGCTCCAGATCTGCGTTCGCCACCGCCTGCAGCATTTCAAATAGCTTGCTCACAACTTGCAATGTGAGCGTCTCCACGACTTCCAGTATGCTGCTGGAAACCGTGAACGTTACTTACTGCCATTCCTTGAAGTGCTGGTTATCGTCCACACAGTAATGACCGACCAAACAGGCTGTACTGTACTCCGCTAGTTGTCTTTTTTTAAAGGCACAACACTTCGAATCAGACAGAAAATTTATACTTTTGTGTCATGCACCTACTCGGCTTTATATACACACCGCTTTTCGGGCCTCACGCCACTTTTCGGGCCTCCGCCCGACCTACCATCTAGCCTTGAGGATGCAATCTTGATCAACTCCTGCACTGCACCTCCCGCATTACAACTCCTCGGCGCTATGCTCGCTGTTGCACAGCCTTTCCTCTTTCCCATGCATCATTCTCGTCCGCGTGTGCTTCATTGCGAATTGTCTGGTTCTGGTCTGGACAGCGCTCGTGCCCGTTCTTGTGGTCTGACAGTAGCCATGGCCGTTCCGCCAACAGGCTTTTGCCACTTAAAGCTTCTTCATCAACTGCTGCATCGCACCTCTCGCATTTCCTGACCTTTCAGCTACGCTCCCGGTTCACACTTCCCCGTCGCTATGGTCGAAATTCGTTACATCATGCTCCTTGCCGGTCCTTCACATCGCTGCATGCATGCACCACCCTTTCATGTGCCCTTCCCGAATCACAGCGTGATTCTGCACCCCGGCTCCTAGCGTTTTGTGCGGTATGGAATTTGCGGTATGGATATTGTGTGTACTAACCGACATCATGCATCATTCATCCGGCTGGAGTTGACGTGCATTTCCTAGAATATAAACGATTCCGGGGCTCTTTCACCGGGGCTCTTTCACCGGGGCTCTTTCACCGGGGCTCTTTCACCGGGGCTCTTTCACCGGCCGCGAGTATCTCGAACAATTCCTCACGTCTTTTCAGTTGCGCAACGCCGTCAGCACCATGTCCCCAGTCCCGTCTCCTCACCACCTAACGCACTTTACTTCATTCCATACATTACACACCAATACTGTCCAAACTCGCGTTCACAACCGTGAACGCCAACCGTGAACTCGCGTTCACAACCGCTCCTGCCTTGCAACTGCTTTTTGCTGTGCTCTCACATTTCCGCATGACCACCTGCCATTTCCATGGCGCTTTATTCATTTCCGCATACAACTTGTCCCAGCACCCCACCCGTTACCGCAGCTGCCATGCGAAGACGTACTGACCGCGCTTCGTCGCCCTTCCGATTGTACGATGCCGCGACTTGTATAAATGCCAGCCTGTGTCGCCTCCTTTTTCATACATTCTCCTGTTTCCATTTGTTTGCTTATAGACCAAACTCCCTTATGTGGACGGCAGCCAGCCAGGCTTTCGCTTCGCTGACACCTGTTCTACTCTTGCAACCTTGCAACTCTTGCAACGCCAATCACAAGTCCCACCTCAGACCCTTTCGCCCGTCAACTTGGGCGCTTACGGCACGCCTTCGCCGAGCCTGCCACAGCCAAGCCGCCCGTCAACATAGCTGACCTGTGGGCGCAGTTAGCAGCGGTGTCGCCAACCGGCGGAGGCCGCTCACATTCAAGTAAGCGCCTCATCTTCCGGTACTAGTAGCCGCCTTGCCGCGCCGCACCCTACCGAACAGAACGCATGCCGTCCCTGCTGCGCACCCACGCGCCTCTCTGGCTGTCCCATGCATCCACCATCTTGACACGCCCTGCTGCTGCCCCTCGTTCCGTCAGGCAGCAACTGCTCTTGGGAAGCATGGCATGTCACGACGAGGACGTCCTGCGCGCGAACGGCAGGCCCATCACAAGGCCTGGCAGGCCCATCATCCTCATCGGTGTCCAAACCTCACCTGATGATGCATCCTCCTCACCCACGGCATTCACATCATCATGTATACGATTAGTATAGAAATACTCTTTTACGGGACCTTCGTCTTGATCAGGCTGCATGTGGAGCAAGGGCATATGTTCTTTGGTGGCGGCGTTTTCCGCAGTTTCTTTCTGTGCCTTCGCTACTATATCTATCTTCTTAAGGGCAGGTTTTGTTTTCGATGGCTTCTGGGCTACTTGCAAGTAATTGTTGATACCGCTATACATGACAGCACAAATACGGCCCAGTATACTTGAATAACATTTCTTTATACTGGAGGACAGCACCGGGGTATGGATTACAGAGAAGGAACGGTTCGGCGAGTACGTTTTGAATCGTCGTTCATCATTACACCTAATAAGCTTGCAGCTATTACAGCATCAGAACGTTTTGGAGCTGCTGAAAAAGTACCAAACAAAAATGCAAATTGTTGCGATTTTGACGGGGAGGGTTTACGTTCCCCGTGTGAGGCCTTGCGCCGTTCGTTTTGGGGTCCCCGTTCCATGACTCTCACGTGCACGGGGACCTCGCCATAGCTCCAATTCGATACCCTGCAAGGCTGAATTCGACACCCTGTTAGGCCAATTCGGCACCCGGACAGGCCAATTCAGGCCCAGTACAGCCCAATTCCGGGGCTCCACAGCGCAATTCGAATATCTCCGACGAGCCTGCCAGAACAATTCAAGACCCCGACGGACCAATTCTTTAGTCAGGAATAAAATCCAGGCTAATTCTGCGACAGAGCTCTTCCCCAATTCCAGCCCGGATCCTACCCTCCTAGTACAGCCAGCGGGCTAGCAGGCCGTGCACTGCACCTGATACGATAAGGGCAAACAAGACTCCCACCCAGACCAGACAACGCAAGTCACCTAGACAGCCAAATGCAAATCCAAGGGCAGGCTCAGAACCCGCAACCACAGGGGAATTTGCCGTTAGACTCCCCAATTTAGCGAAAGTCCTCGGAACCCCACCACAAGGCCCATAAGCAAATACTGATAAGAACTTGCACGTTGTTACTAGATGAGGCCTGAGTGAGCTTGTGCGTATGAACAGCTAGATTGCATTGCTTAGACAGACGAAGCCATATAGGCCGCAAGCCACTTCAGCATAATTGCGCCTGCGATCGGCCATAGCCCGCAGACGCGGACGCCACAAATGCGCTGTGTTTACACCCTACAGGCGTGGTTCACGTGTGTATTCGCGTAAAAAGGATAATAGAAATTTTGTGAGTTCCTTGCGAGTTGGTTGTTGCGACTTTAGCCGTACGCAAGAGTGCACTTCGCCTCGCACCCGCAATTTGTTATGCAAGCCGCCAAAAGCCGAATTTCGGCTGCGGGTACTGTGGTACGGACCCGCAGGACACCCGATTTGCCGAACTCTGCTCCCAACACTGAGTGCGTGAGGTTGTCGCGATAGCCGTTGCCAGCGTGGCGCAAAGCCCGTCAGTGTTTCTTTTGGGGCCAGGTCAGTGGAGGGAGTAGGCGATCGTTTTCAACCGATCTTTGCCAAATACGACCCGCAAGCTGAGAACCGGCCAAAGATAGCAATGTGGATATAAGTGCATGCAAAGGTTCAAGAATTGCAAGACGAGACCGCCGAGAATGCGGGAGGGCGGTAGTCAGCAAGTCGACAAAGTGATTATCCCCGTTGCCTGGAGGGCAGCGCCGAACCCGCGATATTTCTGCAACAATGACAAATGCCATCAGTAGTATTTCATTTGGCGACGGGGACGCGTCCAGGAAGCAGCCCAAGCTACCACACGGACGTTTATTCTATATACATTCGCTTTATTTACAACGTTCAATAGATTGGCTTAAGGAACCTTGCAACGCTTACGGGAAGGGACGGTTCTAGAGTTGGCCGGGAAATCTGACAGATAGGGGTGACCCCGGGGGGCCTCAGATCCCCGAAGGCGCTTCGCGCTCGGGGTCCGAATAGTAAAGCATCGTCGTCCAGCAACATGAAATTCGCTATGTAAATTTACACCTACTGAATTCTGTCTTTCCAGTTTTTGCCTATCCGATGGATTTCGTGTGCCAGGAGCAGTACAGGATTTATAGAAGAAGCATTTTTCCTTGTACCAAGAAAGTCGCGCATGACTTCACCCGTGAACTACACGAAGTGTACTTAGCCTGGTCAGCTTACAACCACATCTCAGCCGCACACATAAGCCGCGCCCAGCATATAAAAAGGATAACGTGTGGCTGCGTGTGGCAAGCGACTCGAACGAAGTATAAGCGCTTGGCGACAACTTCTCAGGTCTCCTCAGGCATCGGGGCCGTCCGTAAAAGGCATCTAATCTCTCCCTTACGAAATGGTTTTTTCGTTCAATCCAGGATCAGCGCATAGCAATCGGGAGATTGCTGGCCCAGAAGGCCCGGACTTATCAGGTCCTCATCTGTAGCGCCTGTACTGCGGGTGGTACATCTGCTGTCGCGCTGCCTCATACAGGTTGTGCGGCTTCGGCAAAGCCGTTGCAAAGCCGCCCTCGTACGCCTTTTGCGCCACTGCCTTCGCAACGCTGGCGGCCACGTCGCGAATCTGCACAGCAGTTGATAGGTGCATGTGGGTGTAAACGCGAGGACGGAAGAGGAAGGATAAGCTATTTCCAGTACAAACCTCGGCGACCTTCACGTTAAATAAAACGTGATAAATTCCTATAAGCATACGGTAAGAGTAGCAGCCCACCGTGGCCAGGAGCAGGACATGCCCACACAACCATGGCCTCCTGCTATTCATCGTTCCAGCAACGCCACTTGACGTCTTTAGCCTGTGGTCGCAGGATACCATCACATGGATGTATGATCCCCGATCGTTACTTCGCTGCAGCGATGCATTCCCCGTGCAGCACACATGCCCACCGTGCCCCACTCCTTCCCAGCCCCACCTTGCACAGTGAAGGGTAGATGCTGCCCCTGGAAAGCTCCTCCTCCGATACCATACGGCTGACGGCCTCCGCGGCAGCAATGAACTGCTCGTCACGCAGCTTGGTGCAACGCGAGATAAGCGCTCCTAGTGCGACTCCGGGGAAGATGTATGTCGAGGTGCACTGGGCTGGTGTTACTGTCCGGCCGCTAGGCAACATCACCGACTCAACCTGTCATGTGTACGGTGCATGGCATAAAACATTTGGTGAGCATTGGCGCTGTCAACGCGGCAACTCTAGCCTCGAAAGGACCATTCCAATGTATCGGATGGAGGTTTCCTTATACAGAATATGGCTACCCACTTCACCGCCGCCACCTGTTATTAGTCTATTATGAGGGCACATTAAGGATTCCCTCAAATCCCTAACAGTTGACAGCCTATGGCTAGGCTTTCGCGCCCGTACAGATCAGGTCACATCCCGCCCCAGGCAGACGGCTCAGGCCCAATGAATCATGCATGTTGAGGCGAGTCCCTTGTCTAGTATTAAGCTTCGTCGTGCTTGTCCCCAGACTTCAGCCTTGGCCCCGGTCTTTGGCTTGTGGGTCCGAACAGGCTACAACTACCGGCGATGTTATGGGAATTTGCGCCATATGAAGCGCCTTCCTGTATTATGTTCCATGTGCCGATTCAAGGTATGACCAGGATGAAAGCACGTCTCCTTCATTGAGACCGCTGGATTGATTATGGGGAGGGTAAAGGTTGGAAAACAATGCCAATCCCATGCCCGCGACTGTGACATGAGTGCAGACAAGAGGGACAATAGACTTTCCGCCCAGGCAGACGATGTTCACGGATTCTCAACACCTTCCCTTGCCAAACATTGAATTCCAGAGACCATCTCTCCTACGTACAGTCCTACCTTCTGCTCCGTCGCAACCAACGCTCTGCCCTCCGTGCAATTGTACGCGTCGACTACTGTGCACTCGGGCATTGCAGCACTTAACGGAAAGATTAGCGGGTGCTTGCAGGCTTCGCACATCGCCTGAGGAAAGGAGGTAGCGGGGCCTTGCCTCATACATTCTCTGTACTTACACATAGAAGGCCTGGAGTCATCCAAGCTCTTACAGAAGCTTGGAGGAAGCCAGGATACCGAAGATCGATAAGGATTGAGGGGCCCCTGCAGTCACTGCTGCCATAATCGTTGATCGTGGCGGCCAATTTAACTTCCCTAGGCGCTCCGGTGATGTACACCACAGCATGGTGGTCTTGCGCTCTTTTCACAACTGCCTACGTATCAAGCATGTCCAATGGGATGCTGACGACTGACCTCCGGTCCCCAGAAGAACAAGCGCAGCACACACTGCGGCCTAAAACTGAATATTCGATCACAAGCCCCCCTATCAGGGTATGGAGCCAACAGCAGCACGACTTATTCCCCCTGACCGTTGGTGATGCTGCTGGAACGTTACCACAGCACCAAGAGGAACACAGACCCCAGGGTTTCTGATCGTCCAATGGATAGGAAGAAAGCTGACGTGGGGGAGCTCAATAAAGCGCTACGTAGTCAATAACCAGCTGTATCATGGTTTCCTTCGTAAGTGGACCTATTGCGTTGTGTTCGTAAGGTCCTCAAGCACTTTGTCGACAGCTTCAACAGCTTGTAAATAAGTGCCGACAAGAGATATCGGTTTCGGACGACAAAAAGAAGTTCCCTGAAGCCAGGATCTTCCCAAGCGGGTCTGCCCATTTTCCTCTTTGTTGAAAGCATGCTGTTCCAGCTGTTGAGGTTCCTTGCTGGCCTCGTTGCACACGGCACTGCATGTCAGCGCCATCCCAGAGTGCGCTGTTGTTGCATGACGGCCTGCCTTTTTGAGGCCAAGACAGTAGGTCTGCCTATATAAATTGGTCCTTCTTCAAGTTCAACCTGTAGTCTACTCCACGCGCCATCTAACTCGGCGAAGAGCCGTCATTATTAAAACTGGACGACTGACTTGGGCATCGCATCAACATCATGCTGCCCACCTTTTAAACAACGGATTTCTTATTGGCCTGCTTCTCCTCCTTCACACTTTGTCACCTAATCTGATTCCGGGGACATCATGCCCACCTGCAGCACCTCAGGCGTAAACGGAAACGGAGGCGTTCCATGTGTGGACAGCCCCACCAGCACAGTGGGCTTCAAAAGTTTCACTGCACTCGCCAGATCCCGGCATTCCGGCCCCGAATGGCAGTATGGCAGCTTATAAGACTCGAGCGTGGAACTGTCGCCGCGCTCACGAGTCACCAACCCCTACATCTTGCAAGGATCAGCGAGGGTTGCAAAACGTGAGGATTACATGGAAACAGGGGTTGCGACCTAAGATTCAACTGGTACGTGCTGTAATTTGGGTGCTGGTTGCCTGTGGTGAATGGCTAAGGTATGACATGCCCTCACCTATCCCCTTGTCTTCCAAACCCCCAAACCATCTATCTGCAACGCAAGGACGCACGTCCGAAATGCAAGGACGCACGAAAGGGCGGAAGTCCTTGTTTCTCTGCAAGTAGGGCTCATGCATGTGCTTAGGCGATTGGAACTCGCGTGTGGCCATGCCATCACCTGTGCATCCACCAGCCAAAGTCGCCTCCGTGCATCGAGGACTGTCTGGCTTGTTTGCGTCGCAACTGCCGTGGCATATAGCTCAGCGATGCATGCCACAACGGCGCCCTCCCCTGTGGAAAACCAGGCAAGGGCCGTTCACGCCACGATTGAGCCCAAACGGGAATCCTAAATGCGCAAAATCCTATCCGACGAGCTTCCATACCTTTGCCACATCATCCATGCCATCGCATTCATCACGTGACATCTTCACGCTCTCCATCTCCATTTGCCTCACTTTCGCACAACCTTTGCATGTAGTCCCTTAACACATATCAGAACCATATATTTTATGCCCCACGCACCCACAAAAATGATTCGGTGATCACTGAGTCTACCCCCTGTCTTGGGCAACGCAGCCATGATGCCCGCCAGGACCGCAGCCGCCACACCGGTCATATCATCATTGAAGCATGGAAACTCAGTACGGTACATGTTGAGCAGCTTGCTGGCATTATCATATGCCATCTCCTCAAACTATCGCACCCACAAACAAAGGGTCACGGTTGATCAGAGATGAGTTGGGGAAGGCGGGCCTTAATGCAAGCATGAAATATTCGACAAAAAGGACAAGGCAGAATGCACCCCACAACGCTGAGTTACATCAAACCTTCAGCCCCTTCAGTGCTTGTATCCCTGACAAGCTTTAAGGGGAAAGTAAACGCGGTTAAAACAGCGCTAATTGCAGAATCTCAGAGCAGCCAGCGCTGTCGAGAAACTCAGGCAGGGACGAGACGAATTCACCATTAGTGTTTAAATCATTTCAGCCCACAGTCAGCATGTCGCCGTAAGTGTGTAGCCGTGAATGCAGCTCTGCTAAGCTGCTTCTATTAGTGATGGCGCCGACTCTCCTAAGCACCCCAAGGACGAGTTGGGTGTCGGCTTCAAGGAAGCCGGAAAAAGGGCGGGGCCCCTCTGCATCCGTACAGGCCAGTAGCAAGGGTGGCAAGTGTGACAATTGATGGGTAATGTCAACATGGTGGGAGCTAGTGTTTGTGTAACGAATGTATTTTCGAGCGATTTCGGGACTATTCCGTGGCACACCCATCGGTTGCTGGCCTGTGTGCTGTCTGTGATGTTTAGGTCTTGAAGCACCAGCGGCTACAGGAAAGCACTCCACTGCCGCAAGCTTCATCACGGCACGCTGCAACTGTTCGGAGACCCCATGCATTGGCCAAAGTAAATGTACAAACAAGCAGCTTGTGTATTTCATACAGAAATGAAAGCAAATTTTGTCGTGGCAAGTCGGAAGGCCCGTGTGGGCAAATGGTAACACATGCTGGGTGTTCAAGTTATCATACGCTGTCATCTCGGAAATCAATGATGAGATACACGGCACCTTTTTGAGATGAAATTTAGCCCGAGAGGCGTTGATGTGACTATGAGCTCGGTCAATGGAGGCAGCCAAAGTTGTTTGTGCTCATACGATCTTTGTTAGCTACATGCGAGATACCATGCAATAGAGAATGCTATATAGTACCTATAACGCGTTTCAGCCGGGTGAAATATTATGTTTGGTCCGTTACACACACACGGCCTGGGAGTTCGAGTTATCATACGCCGTCATCTAAGAATTCAAATATGAGATACACGGCACCTTTTTGAGATGAAATTTAGCCCGAGAGGCGTTGATGTGACTTTGGGCTCGGTCAATTGAGGCAGCCAAAGTTGTTTGTGCTCATACGATTTTTGTTGGCTACAGGCGAGATACCTTGCAATAGAGAATGCAATATAGTACCGATAACGCGTTTCAGCCGGGCGAGATATTATGTTTGGTCCGTTACACACACACGCACACACGAACATGGGCAATCCTACAGGTCGGGGCCCCCCTGGGCTCTTCGCGCTGGGGCCCCGCCCAAAAATAGACTGCAGAACAGCATGCGAAACTTGCACGATGATCCAGGCACAAGCCACAACCCAACTGAAGCCACAAGACGATCCCACACCATATCCTTACCTAAGGATGGCAGCGTTATGGGGAGTGGCAGGGTCCCCGAAAAGGAAGAAGGGGGCAGAGCGATAGGTGGCACAAGAAGAGCAAGAACAAAGTGAAAATAAATCCCCCTGCATGCGTGGCGGTGTATTGTGCATGCATACAAGCAGCATTGGGGGTGCAAACAAGAGACAAAGCAAGGGCACACCATCACATACACGTAGTGCAAAGGGGAAGAAGGGTCAAGAGAAAAAGCCGTGACAACCTGGACTAGGACAAGATCCTAAGCGATGGGTGCAAGTGGAACCCGCCAGTTCTTGTGGCCTGCTCGTCCACACAAATGTCAGTCATCTACAGTGTAGGGAAATGCTACCCCTGCCCTGTCACAGCTCTCGTCAAAGCAATGGATCACATCAACGCAAAACAGGCACCTAGGGATGGAACCTCAGGCACGAACAACGGCGCCAGTTATGCTTCTGGACTGACGGTCCGGGCTCAGCTAACGAGTCTACACGAGTTGGCAAAAAACCGCTCTCAGAGCCAGCTCCTCGGTTTATCTGGAACTCCCCATGGTGCAGACATATGAGAGCAGGAATGCTCCTCAGGTTCCCATCCCCCCCCACATGCCCGGCTTACACCCGGCCCGGCTTTTGCACTTGGCCGCACACTAACTTTTGAACATTATCTTCAATGTGGACTTAGTGTGTGGCTAGTGGACAGGTGTCCCGGAACCATACGACAGGTTCATATTAAGGCGCCAAACCATTGTAATAGTAAGAGTAGGGTGCACTACGTTTCTCTCTTTTACCTACAATAGACAACGACTTACTTATTCAGATTGTGAGCGGCTTGGCCGCGGCCCTGTTGGCCCTCCTAGCCATCACCGGGCCAGCTGGGCCAGGCAATGACGCTTCTTTGAATCCTCTGTCTGCTTGTCTTTAACAGTTGGAGCATTTAGTTAGTGCTGTCAATGATAATCCACATGGAAAATATGGGCGATTCGACCGGTCCTGCTCGGAATTCCACTGGTCAACGGGCTATTTGCGACTATGGATAAAGGAATTAGAAAAGTCAACGTAGGGCCTTGAGGAAGCAAAATGGCTGACTATGAATTTTCCCGCTCGGAAGTTAATGTCCACTTTGAAAATTATCAGCAGGTCTGAGGCCCTGATAACTAGTGTGCCACTAATGTGGACTTAGTGTCCGAGGCGTTTCCACTGGGCACTTCGGCACTGCGCCCTTCGTACGGAGCCCCTTTACGCGATTTTTTTAAAAACTTTTACTTTCTATTCTATTAATGTATTTAACTTGTAACGGCCCAAACACAGTTCACCCAGCATGGCGGATTATCACATGCAGTGGGTACACACTCCAGGCATGTTTCACATTTACCTTCATAATCCTTCGTCTATTGCAGAGTAACTCCTCCCACGGACGCCTTTGACCAAATCCTGCATGCCCGAGACCCCACAACAATGAACGCATGCTACACATGCTCCATCCCACCTGTACGAGCACGGTGTTACCAAATCGGCGTTTAACTGCAGTCAAGAATTCGTCCATGATCTCATAGTAGGGGTCGCCCCGCACGCGGCGATGGCGCACCCCGACATAGAAGGGCGACCGCAGGAGCTCCTCGTTGTCAGTGCCCACGTCAATCATAACTGGCATCGCGATGGAAGGGGGGATACCTCCGCATGCAGTGTACAGCGATATCTTCGATATGGGGACTCCAACGGCCTGTATGAATTCAGTTGGACAGCGTGTACAAGTCTCAGCATTGTCACAAGAGCATACACATCATGTGCCTCAGAAACGCCCAGGTAAGACGACAGGGCTTGAGAGCTTTCCAAGAACACGGAATGTGTGGACCCTGTAAAATGGTCCGTTTGATGACAAGCGCTGTTGCGAATTCTGTCAGCACCCGTGCTAGTTGGGCAGCACAACATTCCGCGCACTGTTTTATTCTGCCTCCTTAAAGCTGCCGGCTAGAAGCACGGGCACACTGCCAGTGCTGTAATCATAATTTGATACGGTTGGGCCATCGACTGTTCAGTGGCGGTAGCAAAATATCGACGTGCATGGCACGCATGCTAAAAGTTCTGTGGACGCAACGGGACCGTTTGCGAGCCCAATGCTGTGACTGGTACCAATAAATGAAAGCCGGTGGCGGACAATACACGGCGCAGCAAGACACAGAATTTAGCGACAAGGATGCATTATGCAGTACACACCGATAAGGCGTGATGATGGGCCTGCTCTCGTGTGAAGCGAAGACCCTGACATTACTGCTGCGCCTTGGCGCATGCCCAACCCCAAACCATCTTGTTCCCAAGCTGTGAAATATACTGAACATGGAGGAGCAACACCACTCTCCAGCATACCTGTACACCCAGGTCCCCCAGGTCTCCGACGCGCTCCCCGTCCGAGACCACGAGGAGCTTGACATTGCGCTCAGGCCAGTTTTTGAGAATGCGGAATACGCGGCCGCGGTCCTCCAAGGTGATAAACAGACCACGTGGCAAGCTTTTGAACATAAGCCCGTACTTTTGACAGGCCAGTCGAACAGTGGGGTTGTACACTACTGGAAGTAGCTCCTCAATGTTCTCCAATAGCACCCGGTGGAACAGCCTCTCATTGCGCTCCTGAAGGCCCTGCTCGAAAAGAGGAAGGCGCGCACATGGCGTGATGTTTACAAGCAGCTTGTAAACGCACCTGCATGGCCACTCAATTTTTAATTGTACCTTGTGTTAATGGGTAAAGCCGCACCTGCCTGCGCGCAAATCGCGGGTTAACCGCCATGTAACACATTTCAATCATGTTAAGCAGCGTGTGCAGATCAATGAGGGAATCCGTGAACGGCGTGGCCTACCGTTTTACATGACCCTCAAGACTATGGATACATAGCCAGGTACAACATTAGGGTACAAAATCATGGGCCAGCCTAATGCCCAGGGAGTCGTTCCTGTACACGTAGTTACAGGCTGTTAGTTGAGGCTGTTTCCATTCTTTCCTCCTGAGGACCCTTCGTCCTCGGGTTGTAAACTTTCACTGCAGGCGCCCTGCAACAGAACCAGGACAACATTCCATGTAACTGGTTTGTCATTTGCAGCAGCAATTCCCTAGACTCACCCTTAACCCTACGTAACCGCGACATCTGGGCCTACAGGTGGGAAATCTTTAACCCTAAATACGATGGTTGTCAGGCTCGAACCAGTCATGCTGACTTTTGAAGTCAAGCAATGCAAAAATTGTAGGATTTGCGCCTGTCTCAATACGCAACGGATCAAGGCACGAAAAAGAGATGCCATCCTATGCGGCACTCCCTTGCGCCTGCGCGCTGCGATCACTAGCCTCCCGTCATGCTCAATCCTTTTATGTAGCGCGTGATGGTTGCCTTCTCCTTGTCCTTCATAGCAAGCCGGCCATACAACAAACCAGCTTGCCCCTGTCCCAGCAATCAACCACCCTGCTAACGAGGGAAACATAACTAGCGTGACTGGCCAAGATTCGTTTTTCCCCTGGGATTTATGGAAGGGCCCCCAGTCAGAGTCAGATGCCCACGCCTTGGATACGCAACCTGAATTTCGGGTGCGCTGCCATCCAAACATGTGCCAACACATAATCAATGGCCAAAATAGCGCAGCATGATGACAGGGCAGGAGTCGTGCGATGGGTAATATGGCTATCTCACTTATGAAGGGAAATGGGAACCCTGCTATTTTCCTCCGCCTGAACTTGGCCAAAGAATGGGCGGCTGGCGCAATTTCGTCGGTTGAAAACCCAGAAAAAAAATAGAAGGCAGGCTCAGCAGCCTAGGAATAATCCCTGCCAGGCGGTGTTCCGGCATGTATGTAGTACGCCTGTAGTGCTTAAAGATCAAAACACAGAATTCACCAATAATACAGTCTGCAAACTGCAGAAGACCTTAACTCGGATCTGGGTTCCCACTTGGCACATGCGCATTATACGCATGAAATGGCTCGCAGGCGACATTTCAGCGAAGGTTTAGGCATTTGAATAGCCGGGATCTCGAATCCTGGAGCAGGGGTTAGTAAAACTTAAGGAACTTTCCTTCTGCTATTAAGATAGCCGCCATGTTTAGATTCGTGCTGGTAGTGTAGGTGCTGCTGCTGAAGTGACCTCTCTTATCTGCCTGTATGGGTTGTATTTGATGCATCCTTCGTTTTACAACGCCATCGCCCACATGCAAAATTTAACGCATGCCAAATCCTCAGTGTAAAACGAAACACCCACACACGACCATTCGGTCAAGGATGATGCTGCTTTAAGAGCTATTGATAGACTTTTAGGGCATACTTTTGGAAATTTCGCTATATTAACGTTGTAAAGGAAAAGGCTGTGTTAAGACTCTAATACATCTTTGCCCAGTGCATCGCAGAATGGCGACAGAGCAGGTAGCTTTTGCGGGCCCACATTCGTCTTCCATCGGTTGGACGGAAAAACCGGCGTCAATTGATGCTCCATGTTGCTTGCTCAAGTCTCGGTGTCATGTACCACATCATATCAGATTAGGAGGCGCTACAGCGTATGCTTTCCGACATTCAACGGCGGGAGAAGATGGGTGGCTGGCAATTCATTCGCTTTTGAACAAATTGCATTTGCAGAATTATTGTCTTCAGCGAGATTTCCCGTCTCTGAGAGAATATATGCATTGCTGATACATCTTGCACAATGCTATATGCTACGCTTCCTATGTGGTGCCTTTTTGTTTCCTTACGCTTTCTTCGCGAGCTCCGAGAACACAAAAATCTTTACCCCAGGCGACGGTGAGCAATTCATGAACAGGAACGAAAGTGTGACCAGAAAGGGACAACGCTTTCCCAGCTGTAATGCGTGCAAAAACCAAAGTTGGCACCCAAGTTCTCCTCTTGGTGAACACTAAAAAGCACATCCTAACACTTCAGCCACGCAAACGCACGAGACATCCATAGTTTCACCACACATCACCTGCAGGTACGTGCTCTTCTCGAGATCAGAATCCTTGCTTCGGATGTTAAGCAGCGTGCGCTCTAGTTGGACCTCCTGTGACAGCACAGCTGGCGGTAGTAGCCCGCGGAGGTACAGCCGGTCGCGCTCCGCGTCGGAGAAAGCTGCACAGAGGAGCACTCGTGTAAGGGTGGAGGTGGAGCCGTTTTAGTGTACCCCAAGCAACTGACGGCAACCCTGGCATGGTGCATGGTCACACAGTAGTGTGCGACCGAACTACGTTTCGAATAACCTGGACCCACCTACACGGCATGCACGGTGTGTAAGTCGGGGTGTGCAGCCACATGGCAACTTAAGTTCTTACCCTAGGGATCCGGGCAACCAGTAAGATTCCCCATGATTTTAACAGCATGTCATCTGTGCAACCCTTCACATTGTCCGTATCACAACCCAGCCCGCCGCTTCTTCCCTGCTGTACAACGCTGACCATGTGAGTTCCCTCGTTACCTAGTCCTTTGTTGTATTTGGGGTGGCGCATAAGGTCAACTCCGCTGATAACCTGCCGGACCCAGGGTGTTGTAGGACGCCCGGCCTTGTCTTCTTCGTCGTGGATTGAGCTTCCCGTCGTATGCCTGATGGCAGTTATAGATGTGTCTTCTCTTTTCCCAAAAAATAAAACGAAAGATGAGTTGCCGTGGGCAATTTTTAGCGCGCACTGCACAATCCTTGACCTGCCGAATGTCCAGGAAAGCATTCCTGCCCCGAGGCTATCTGGAAGCTTGAAAGGTGATTATGCTCGTGTAATGGCGTTGGCTCTTTGTGAATCAGCAGGAGTCAACGATGACGTTGACGTAACGATGCACATCCGCTTAAAATAGTTACAATGCATTAATACCTACTTGGCCAAGTCCGTAAAGCTTGTATAGCCAGAACGTTCGACATCTCGGGGGACCCCCTAAAGGTGAGGCCGCCCTGGAGGGATGCCGGCAATGTGCTTGCGTAAACTAGCTGCTTTCTTGGAGTTAGATTGTCCTAAGGTAACGTTGCTGATAGCTCAGTCAAAGGCGCAAGGACGCGACCGCAGCTGCCGGCGGAAAGCTAATGCAATTGCCACAGATGAAGCACAAAGGATAGGTAAGCCACAAAGCTTTACACATATAAGTCCATAGTCCGATAAACGATGGCCAACTTGAAGCCATTCCACCCAAAGCGATGCCACCCAAAAGTTACGCGCATAAGAGCCTTAGTGCGTCTCCACATATCTGCTAAATGTAAATTTGCCTGAAGACGATAATGAATCACATAGCTCGATAGACGTAACGACTCATGGCTTTGCGAAATCGTTCGCGACGACATTCCGACAACTGATAGCAACAGTGACACTCAGAGCGACGCTGACAGTTTATCTGATGGCGAGACAGCTGTCAGCGGCGCTGGGGTAGCAGGGACTGGTTGCGGCGATGGGCACCGGCGCACAGGCGGCGGCGCAACGTGGCGAACCACAGGTATGTCTCGACGCTCATGTGCGCGGTCGGAAACAAGTCAATAGCGCGTGGCGTTCTTGTCGATTGCACCCCGCAGGGCCCGCTCTAGAATCCCCTCCGCCACATCTGGATACCCCGGCGTTCCCGCGGCCGCCCGCCCACACGGACCCGCTGCGCCAGTTCCTCTTATCTCGCCGATGATAAAGGCCAACAAGTTCCTGTTTAATATCAACATCAACACCGCTGGCAAGTGTCTGGGCTTCAGCTCCAGCCCACGGCAGCAAGTTCGTTTATCTACGCAACGGGACATAACTGGCCGGTATGTTGGCGCTGCAGCGTTATCGGTGGGACCATCAGCACCCTGGACCTCTACGGAGACGCAGTGTTGTGCAAGTATCAGCAGCAGATAACAGCGCCGGTGAGAGGGCCGGGTGCAGCGGCAGCGGTGATGTTGCTGGGAGTAGCCTCGACGACAGGTGTGGCGGCTGGGCCTAGCAACGCAACAGCAGCAGCGGCGGCAGTGATGGGGCTGTGAGGTGCAGTAGCCTCGACTGCAGGCGCGGCGGTGGTGGGGCCTAGCAACGCAGCAGCGGCAGCGACGGTGGCGGGGTTGGGAGGTGCGGTAGCCTCGACACTACTCCTCACTCGAGCTGTACGCTTCTCGCGACAGTCTGCCCCAGCAAAATATCTGGCAACTTAGCTACATTTTTAGTGTTTTGGAAACGTAACGCTGAGGTGCAAAGTACTGCATCGTTATCCTTGGAAAAAGTCTGCGTTAATTATCATCGTTGCTCTCGCGGAAACGGATGTGCTGATGGCAGAAGTCTGGATGCAGATTATGTGTCAAGCACGGAGCATCATGTGACACACGGATACTAGAGACGCGGGAATAATGTTACAGACGGTTAACGGTACAGACACTGGCGAAGATGGTCCATAAGGCGTCCCAACGCCAACTGCCTGTCTGCAAAACAGGGGTATATGTAAACATCCCGGACCCATACGGACCCGATATTACGATTGGACGGGTATCTAGGTCATAGGGGTCAGTTGTTTTTTCAAACACGCCACGTGACGCCACCACACGCCGCCCTGATTCATTTGGAGGACACAATATCCGAATGTGTCAGAATGTCTCGACGACGCCGGGGTTAAGGGGGATGCATTTGCAATACGTCCAAAACATGATACACGTCGGATGCATGCAATGTGGTATAGGATGTGGGGTACGTTTAGACTCTTTTTATAGGACAGAGGGCGCAGAGTCGTCCAGCTGTGGAGGGCTGGAGAGAGGTGCCGTGGGGGACTCTTTTTAACATCTTTTACACAAAAGCTATTGTGGAGGAACGCGCATTTTTGTGGGTAGGAATGCATGTGTTTTGTCTTCTCCCACTTGTGGTGGTGTAAGTTGTTTTGAGCCACACCACCCTGTGGCGCGCAAGTGAGATTTTGTGCACACGCAGCTGCAGCTGCGTGTGTGCATGTGCATGCGTTCGAACTGTATATTCGTTGCCGACCCGTGGGTTTCTCTCTGCCCCGACGACGCCCTGTGGCGCCCTGCTTCCCGTATGCTAGTTTTAGCACGTGCGGAACAACTTGCAGAACGATAGGTGGGGCACTCGTACGATCACCAACCTGGTAAAGCGACCATTCCACCGCAACATACTAGAGGTTAACTTTATTGATAACTCACACGCATGTCTGAGAGGTCCTGAGAACAGAATTTGACGCCTAACTGTTTCTCAATCCCGGGGATGCTGTGCGCGACCCTTGCGAGTGAGATGGTTATCCTTTATGAAGAAAAAGTACGGTTTGTATTCGTTTTCTTGCCTAACTGTTGCACGTGCCGGTTCAGTTCATCAAGGGTACCTTTCGGCGTTTGTTAGCCCGTCCGTCGCCGCTGTCTGACATCGCTCTTTGCGTTGAGCGCCGGCTTTGGAGGAATAACTCTAATACTAAAAGTCTAACTAAATGTTTGAAGGCATGCAGCGCGAGGACTGACTGGCACGGGCATAACATGCCGCTCGAACATACGCAATATATATTGTAACGGCTGCGCTTGGAATTGTTTGCATGGCTATGTTGCATGATGATAATTGTTTTGGGGGGTTCAAATCCTCAAATGTGTCAAATGCCAAGCCCGAGGAAATCTTTGCATGACCATTATATTGCTTATTGTTTTGGGGGTCAAATCCTCAAATCCCGTTGGGATGTGACCCGGATTTGCTTGGGAATTCACGAGGTCAAATTCCGGGATTCCGGCCCCGTGAGGCCTGTGTGGAATGCCAAAGTCTCCCTTGTACGGCATGCTTGAGTTCCTGCTCGGCTTTCAGCCTCAAACCTCTGCTCGATGTGTTATAAATGTACACAAGAAGCTTTACAACACGATGTTCACATCATGAACTGAAGCATGTGTATGGTCAGGCGTGCGATTAGTTGACGTTTTCTTGTCCCCGGAAGGCGCTAATCCCTCCACGGGAAGACGCGCGATACGGTAGTTGGAAAACGCACAATGGTTGTGCACGTGAGCGGCTGGCATAGAAGCGCACTTTCATCACCACTAGTAGGGACTCAGGCAGCTATGCTTTCTTTTTTTAAGCTATCACGGCGCCGCTCGCACCAGTACAGCGCATCGTCTTCATCAGCTCCGAGTGAGTCTCCTTAGCCCTTCACAGCCTGTCAGGATTAACAGCTTCTTAAGTGCGATGCAGGCGGAACTGGCCTCGAGCTCGCGGATTACCCTTCGACAAGCAACCCTGTAATGCCCAGCAGCTCAGCATCTGACAGCTACGCAAGGCCAGCGACTTTGCCACCTGGAAAGGCTCTGCAACTTCGCACAAGTGTTTGTTATTTGCCTCATCCTGAGAAGGTGAGGCTTATCTTCGCGCAATCTTTATTTGTCGTGTATTATTATAGTTTAACCTGCAGGTGCACTATGGTGGCGAAGACGCTCACTTCATTTCGGAGTATGGAGGAGGAGTACTCGGCGTGGCTGATGGTGTTGGGGGCTGGCAAGAGAGCGGCGTGAATCCTGCAGGTAAAGAAGTGAATATATCCTTTCCATTTTCACTATATGTCCTAAAGTTTTCTTTTTCAGATTATTCGCGGACGCTCATGCAACTGGCGCGGGCTTACCTGGAAGGCAAGGACATCTTTCAAGACCTTGTTTCCTCAAGGCAGGGCGTGCACATTGATCCCAGGGTGAGGTGGCGTAATGCTTTTGATGCCTATGATTGGTTCTTCGGTATGCAAATGATGGCCGTTGGGCATTTTGGCTGCAGGGAGCGTTGGAGGCCGCACACATGAACACGAAGGTGCCCGGTTCGGCAACCGCGTGTGTGTTGCAACTTGACCAAGTTAATGGCGTTCTCATGGCTGCTAACCTGGTGCGGTTTCCGTCTTGCAGCTTTAACGCAGGATTTGCGATGCTGGCTTATCCATACTCGGGGGACGGAAACCTGTGCTCGTAAAAGGCCACACATTAAAGATGAATTGACGGCCTCGTGACTGGTGACTCGGTGCCCTGGTTGCCTGCCCTATGGGTTTTCCCAGTTTATATCAATCCGCCTGACGTTCGAACCATGCACGTTTGCGCTCACAGTATAGTGTGCCATGCATGAGTATCCAACGGTTGTAAAATTGGAGCTCGTACTTTAAGGTAGGACGTCTGATGGCGAGGTTGCTAAGGTTCACGCCTATATGCATAGGGTTTGCTAAGCCATTTGAACGGGATCCACTTGTTCCAACAGTGTCATTCGCTTGCTATGGCTGTTTGGTGTCCAATCAGGGTGACAGTGGCTTCGTTGTAATTCGAGAGGCAAGGGAATTGGTTCGTTCGAAGCCATTGCAGCATTACTTTGATTGTCCTTTACAGTTTGGCGCATTTCCTGAGTTTGTAGAAGCTACCGATACGGCTGACATGGCTGATATCTACAGAATCGCCCTCCAACCTGGAGATGTTATCGTTGCCGGTGAGTTCTCGTCATGTACTGATTATGCCGGTTGCGGTAAAGGCCGACTGCATCCTGGAAACCATCATACAGTTTGCCTTGTCAGCACTGATTGCATAAGGTAACCGTGTTCACCGGGCGCTCTCCAGTAAGCCACTTAAGACATGCTTTACAAAGCGAGCAATTGTTGAGGCACACTGCATTGGCTTAGACCTCATGCTTGAGGGGCTGGGAAGTTGGAGCGGGAGTTTTCCTGGTTGGTTAACTTCTCTTGCAGCAAGGAAACTGAAAAACCTATTTATTGTTACAACACTGTTTTTCAAGTTGCAGTCCTTTTCGGGTGTGTGTCTTGGCCCGGTTAAAGTCTTGGCGCCTGAGAGGCAATTTCCCAAGCTTCAATTTGCAAAAATAATAACCGGAGGACCTTAACGGGCAGGGTCAGGGGTTTCCGAGCACTAAGCACTTGTGCCGGACAGCAACCATGTCCACCTAGGTGTTGACCGCGAGGACCTGGCAGCTCCGTCGATATGCGTCTGTGTCGTTATGTGACGACACAGACGGTGTAAATTAGTGCGTTTGGCCACGTAGTGTTTATCTGACTGCCTTGCTTCAGCCAGAGGTCCCACATCGGGCGAGTTTCAGCAGGATTGGCTGCTGCGATTGTAGATTCCAACTCTGCGGGTCGCAGTAGCAGGGAGTGCCAGCTGAGTTGCATTGTGGGGTATATAGTGGTAATGAAGATCAATTCTCTAGGATTTGGTAATATTTGGGGGAGCATATCATTTGTGGAAGTCAGGTATCAGCAACACTGCAGTCGTGCCGATGCCTCAACTGTTGTCTCTCGTGTCCCTGGGTGGGAGTGCACGGATTTCTATCGTAAGGGCTATCAAACTTCCCATGTGCCCACATTGGGCTTCGGTATTCTATGCAGCGGTTGGAAGTCCGCACCCTGCACTGTTGCGGGGGATGACGCTGGATTGTGCAAAAATTGAAATACTGATTTTTGAACGCAGAGGAACATACTTCAGAAATGAGCTCGTGCTGGGGCAGCTGATATGTGCGGTTTTGGATAGCAAAACCTTGAGCGGATACAACTGAGAGGGTTGTGTGTGGTGGGAAATTGCATTTAGCTGATATTGGCACATAAATGCATTGGGTTCCGGGGTCGGGATTGGTGGTTAATCATAAAAGCGTTCTTCCAGAAGCTGAATGGACATATGGCTGAGGTGACAGGGTTCATGCACATTGTTTCTACTAACGGATTTGGCAAACTTCTACGGCAAGTGCAATTGTCTGGAACACAGCATGGGAAGTTGGTCGGTGGAATTCTTATGTTATCTTGGCTGCATCCCGAACTAAATGACCTTGGGCCTCGGTTTGTTAACATTGCCCTACATCAATTCAGGAACGGACGGTCTCTGGGACAACTGCTACGTGACGGAAATAATACCGCTGCTACCGAAGGGACCAGCAGACGTCCAGGCCTCGGCTGACGCCATCGCGGCTGCTGCCCGGCGTCATGCAAGCGACTCCGAATATGCATCACCTTACACGCGCGAAGCCTTGTCTCAGGGGTAAGATGATGCATACAAGATAGTGACACAAACTTCCTTGCCTTGGCCTTCTGTAGGCTCTACCACTGAACCCGTTTTTCTGGCTGTAGCTTGGACCTGCCATGGTGGGACAAGCTCCTTGGCGTATCTTTTAAAGGAGGCAAGGTGCACTTCAAGCAGCTTACAGGAGGCAAGATGGATGATATCACTGTGCTGGTATCCTTCGTTGACGTGGTGGATGCTCCATCGTGCATTTCAGCTGCAACATCGGAAGTGACTGGCAACGGGATGAGATGCCCTGCTTCCCTCGAGGACAAAGAGTTGTGGGCAGGGCGGCAGCTGGAACTATCACAGTAAAAGAGCTGGAACCATTGATTTCGTAGGGCAAGAGTCCTAGAGTCTTGTGTTGCTGGAGCATGAGTTCAGTGAAAGTCGTTGCTTTTAGCAGGATGGTGCCATCTTGTTCAAGTCCGCGCTTACATGGCAGGCAAGTGCTTGCTACTACAAGTGGATGGACTGCCATAGCGAAGAAGTCTTGGATCATTTTGCAGTGCGCATAACAACCGCTACTTGCTGAGGAGCTTGTGATGGCAGTGTTGTGGAAGCTATTGGCCGTGCACAAGCTTGTGAATGTGTGTACGACAGTAGGACAACAGCATTATAGTTGGGGAATTATTGCTTCTAGAGCATCGGGGTATACCCCCTGTGTTCTACTCTGTCAGTTGCTCTCTTGAGGGAAGACTTCAGGACAAACACGTATGCCTTTACCTTGCACCACAACTTCCTTTCAAAAATCGTGTCAAAAGTCTAGCTGGGACGGAACCCGCAACCTAATACTTGCCTAGCTCGGCTAATAAACGGACATAGCACCCCTCCGGACCTCAGTAAGGGTCGATTGATAAGTGGAAAAAGCTTTCCCCGGTCTGCAGGCTAAGTACCAGGCCCTCAATACCCGCAGGGATGGCCTCTGCTACCAGCCACAGGTCTGCATAGTTCACAAGGCATGATGACCTGGATCTGCTTCGCCTTGGACTTTTTGATACAGGGCGATGGATGACAGACAACAAAGGTCACGCTTGGCATAAGCCTGCCAACTGAGAACAGTCCAGTATTCCTGATATGATTATAAAGAATAGAATACTGAGACAATAAGCTAAAATAATCAGTGTTGGAAAATACAGGTGGCGGCGAAATACTCACCCTCCGATCCACATAAAGCCTTGAGGAATCATCAGTCCTGATTGGATGACGTCTCAGTAGCCTTAAGCATTTAGTCCATTGCTGGCACAACAAGCTAATGTATAGATATGCGAGAAGCCCATGACCCCATCTCTTGCCGTTTCGAACTAGGGACCATATAGGCTTAATGCCAATTGAAAACCCTGAAACTCCTTCTTGTTGTAATCGAGGGGTGCGGCTTTAAACAAAGTGGCGAAACCCTGCCTTCCCCGGTATTTCGGGGCACCCTCATCCAGTCACCCTAGTCAACTTCTCAGTGGATCGCTCAGGTTCCGCACCCACCACCAGCATCCAACGGAATCTGCCAGGTCGACAGCGGCCCAACTCCATTCCTGGTCGGCTCGCAGGTTAACTTTATCCCAGGTCACCACCGTCCATCAACTAGGGGCGCAGTACCTTCCACCATCGGAAGGATTTTCGACCCTTACAGGTCTAGATCCCGGAATCTCCCGGGGGCAATGGTCGCGCGTTACCAGTAGTGCCTAACCCTAATGTATGTATGCATGTACGTATGTATGTAAGTAAGTATGTATGTATGCACGTGCGTGCGTGCACACGTAATGTGACTCACGGTGAGCCAGTGCGGGTGTGCGGGTGCAGGCGTTACCGTCATAGCCCCAGTGGGCTAGGCTCACCATCTTAAAATGTAAGTGATCATCGCAGAAATCGAACACCATCTCCGCTAATCGACGGTCCAACTCAGCCGCCTGACCCGCCAGCCCCGAAGCAGGATCATCGCCACTGACTGCGCCGCTGCTGCCGCCGCCGCCAGAGACCGCCGCAGGCGCAACCTTAGCCGCCGCTGCCGCCGCGGTGGTGCCATCTGCGGGGCCGCGGCCCGCCGCCGCCGCGGCGGCGCGCGCAAAGGCACCGCTGAGCAGTGAATTGAATATAATCAGCGTCTCATCCAGGTCCCACACCACAATTAGGTCGACGCCCGCCGCCGGCGCCGCCGGCCCCAACGTTGCCTCCGCTATGGCTCCGTCATGTAGACCCCGGACGTCACCCTCCCTCCCCCCGGGTTGGGGGATGGGGCCGTTAGCTGCCGTCGCCTGGCGGCTGCTGGTACCTGCCGCTGGTTCCTGCGCCGCCGGCCCTGTCAATTTGACGGCGGCGGCGGTTGTGGCGGCCACCGGCTCTGCCACTGCTTCTACGTCAACCATGGGGTCGTATAAATCGTTAGCTGATCCGGTCGCTGCGCAAGTGTTGCCTCCCGACGCTGCCACTGCTGCGGCGGGTGAGAATCCCCCTGTGCCTCGCTGCGGATGATCCTCCTGTTGCTTTTGCTGCTTTTGTTGTTGATGTTGTTGTCGTTGCGGCTGCTGCTCTTCCTGCGGATGATGGTAATGATGCCGAGGATGCCCCTTTTCATGATCCTGCAAATAATGCTGCTCTTGCTGACCATCCTGCTGCTGCTGTTGGTGGTGGTGCTGTTTCGATGCGTGGTGTTGGTGCAGTGCAGTCCCTGCCGACTGTGTGGTCGGGAAAGGAGGTTCCGCCGTAGACGGAGAGGAATCTTCCGGCCGTGCTCCGCTGTACGACGCCCAGCCCTTCCATGTGCCATCACCATTCCCGCCGTCGCTGGTGTTGGCACCGTCTGCAGGCGCCGCCGGGTACTTCAATATGGCGCTGTGGCAGTGGTAGCTTTGCCAGGCATATTGCGACGGATGCAAGTACTGGTTCTGCTGGTAGTGTTGCTGGTAGTAATTCGCGTGGGCTTCGTGAGGAGGATGCAGCTGACCGTATCCTGTGTGCTGCCATGCCGGATATTGAGGAGGGTAATCCGGGGCCGGGGCCCCGATGTAGGATTGTGTGTGACCCCATGCGTGCTGGTTTATATGCCCATGTGCGCCGGAGCCAGCGCTTCCAGGGTAGGATGTTGCGTATACCGGTTGAGGCGCGCAATGCCAGGCATCAGCTTGGAACGGTTGTGGCGCGGGCGCCCCGGCACCGTCTCCGGAAGTTAATTGATGTTCGTGGTTTGTGGCTTGTAGGAAAGCTGATGATCCATGTACCGCTGCGCCCCAGTCCAAAGTTGATAGCGGATGGGCCGATGGTGGAGGAACTGGCACCGACTGGTGAAAAGGTGCCGATGCCATAGCTGCATACAGTTAATACTAGAGCGCTTTAGTTTACAGTGGAAAGGATACAAGCTCTTGCTACTGTCTAAAGTCCAGGTAAGAGCGGTAAGACTTGCGTCATAGTCATGCAGCGATGACACATCCAGACTAGTCCAGCACCAGCATAGTACTCTGTAGCCAGCTAAGCATACGAGGTGAAACGGTCTCATTCTGGTCCGTTAGAAGTTTGGAACCTGCTCCGAAGCCGCAGTGCAAATAGCAAATGCAGAACTGTCGTTGTGCTACGCTACCAACGCTAACCTCAATCTGAATCTTATACCTTATAATAAAATATTGTATTACGGTGGCTGGCAAGCTGTGAACATAAAGCATAAGTAATATAGAAAATCAGGATTATTCGTAAGGATTCAATTAACTAAATACAATATAGTTATTAGTATGTTTAAGGTTTAAGGCATTTAGCTGATTAATAAGAAAAAAATTTGAACAAAGCAGACTTTTTCACACACATTGCAGATTAATCGGAATGGAGAGGGAGTCAAGCACGTGGGAGCTGGTGGGAGCCCTTGCATGGCACAAGGAATGCGAGACATAGGTTGATAACGATCGTTGTATGAATGTTGATAAGATATTGAACAGCTTCGGTGGTGATTGGTAGAGGTCCACTTCCTGGCCATCGGGGCTGCGTGAGCTTAAGCCGTTGGAACATACTCGGTTGCAGAATCGACAGCGGAAATTCCAGTCATGATTTGCAGCACTGAGCGCAGCTGTCCTCGTCGTTGGGTTACTCTTATTATTCATCATAATACCTGGTGAGTTTTCGAATGACTGCGGTGTTAGACTTGTATCATACCTGTACGTAACTTTCGTAGCCTACAACCGCATTTTTCCAGTAACTGAATGCGAATCGCGAACTAAAACAGAGCATTCTCTTGTAGTTATAATCATTGCACATGTCCTTTTACATACTTATGACAGCCGCGGCCTTCGCACTCTAAAGATGTATGAACGGTATATTAGTCGCTCGTCCTGCACCAACACTGCCTGGATGCTTGCCCTGACGTACCCGCCACGCTGCCTTTTGCGGGAAAGGTTGTTCTGCTTGGTGGTGACAAGCACCAGCTGGCAGCCGTGTGTGAACGACTCCCCAATTGGCGAAAGTCCTCGGAACCCCACCAGAAGGCCCATAAGCAAATACTGCAGTAAGTTCTCAACAGCTGTTAAGAACTTGATGAGATACAACAAGCAAATACTGATAAGAACTAGATGAGGCTTGAGTGAGCTTGTGCGCATGAATAGCTACATTGCATTGCTCAGACAGACGAAGCCACATAGGCCGCAAGCCACTTCAGCATAGTTGCGCCTGCGATCGGCCATAGCCCGCAGACGCGGACGCCGCAAATGCTATCTGTTTACACCCTACAGGCGTGGTTCACGTACGTATTCGCGTATATAGAATATCATATAGAAAATTTGCGTGTTCCTTGCGACTTGCAACTTGCGACTTGCAACTTGCGACTTGCGACCTTAGCAGTACACAAGAGTGCACTTCGCCTCGCACCCGCAATTTGTTATGCAAGCAGCCATAATGCTAATTTGCTCCGACGAAGGTGGGCTAGTTGCGGTAAGTTAGCATAGGTTAAAGTTTCGCACTGGTCCCTGCTCTCATGGCCGGTATGTCTTGCATATATGAAATGGATCAGTTTGTCTTGTTCTTGTTCTTCCGCATGGTCTGATCGTCAGCCAGCCTGCACGCTGTCACGTCGCCAGTCTTGGGTCCCACGCCCTCTGGTCTACTTGCTGTATCTCTACGTTGATGTTGCTCTTCTTCTGTATTCGTCTCCGTTCATGACTTGTCATTGCTGATCATCTTAAAGGGGGGGCGCATCTGCTTGACGGTCTTCTTCGAGCCGTGAATCTCGCATTTACTGTAACAGGAAATGGCATTTACTGTAACAGGACATGGCTTGACGAACGAGAAGAAATTGACCCGGACAAAGTCGCGTTTGTCAGAGCTATGGCGAGGTCCCCGTGCACGTGAGAGTCATGGAACGGGGACCTCAAAACGAACGGCGCAAGGCCTCACACGGGGAACGTAAACCCTCCCCGTCAAAATCGCAACAATTTGCATTTTTGTTTGGTACTTTTTCAGCAGCTCCAAAACGTTCTGATGCTGTAAAAGCTGCAAGCTTACAGGGTGTTTCCACTTGGCCGGACACTATCTTCGGTACACTATGTGCTAGTGTGGACTTAGTGTAGTGCTAGTGTGACGGTGTTTCCACTAGCGACACTAAGGAGCGCCGAAACCAAAATTGTTTTCGTATTTTGAATGTTTTAGCGCCAGGGATTAATTGCTGATAATTAAGCATTCGCGTATTTAAGATCCGCTGCGGCGCAGCCTGCGTCATGATGACCGCCATGAAGTCCGCATGGTGCATTGGCAACGTCCGGCCAGCGAAGGAAGGCAAACTAGCGGTATATGTTTGCTGAACGTTATTGAAGGAGGGCTCCATTGCAAAATGGCGGTGTTCTGAGGCTGTCGGTGTTGGGCGTGCGCAAATCAACGCGGCGTTTGCAGGAAGTCTATGGTCAGAAGGGAAATCCAGCTCATAAAAGTTGCCCGCCAAATAGTTAGTGCTAGGTACTAAAGTTAATGGCAGGTCTGATTCCAATTAACTTTAGTGTGCGCTAGTGCGGACTTAGTGTACGGGGTGTTTCCACTTGGCATTACGGTTCTCCGCCAGGAGTGCCCCAACCTCCAATTTGTTTGATGAATATTTTCTACTATCATTAGTAGTATCAATATATGCATTTAGAACGGCGAGAGACGAGTCCAGGACGAAGAACATTCAAACTTAGTGTTAGTGTTCGGCCAAGTGGAAACACCCTGTTATTAGGTGTAATGATGAACGACGGTTCAAAACGTACTCCCCGAACCGTTCCTTCTCTGTAATCATACCCCGGTGCTGTCCTCCAGTATAAAGAAATGTTATTCATGTATACTGGGCCGTAGTTGTGCTGTCATGTATAGCGGTATCAACAATTACTTGCCCGTAGCCCAGAAGCCATCGAAAACAAAACCTGCCCTTAAGAAGACAGAAGTAGTAGCGAAGGCACAGAAAGAAACTGCGGAAAACGCCGCCACCAAAGAACATGTGTCCTTGCTCCACATGCAGCCTGATCAAGACGAAGGTCCCGTAAAAGAGTATTTCTATACGAATCATATACATGATGATGTGAATGCCGTGAGTGAGGAGGATGCATCATCAGGTGAGGGTTCGGACACCGATGAGGATGATGGGCCTGCCAGGCCCATGATCCTCAGTGAGGACGCGAACTCCCGCCAGCTAGTGGCAGAGGTATAGTTTTAGTCCGTCCACATAACCGTTGCATCACATAAGAATCTGCTTCATCAGGCGGGGGTCACGTTCAGGAATGCAGTCGCCGCAGCGGACGTCAGTACCTGCCCTACGTGCCGGGCTGAGAGCTCTGGCAAACCACTGCCTTGTCCGATCACCGTGGTGACGTGGGACCAGCCTATTGAATTGGAGGTTCCCGTTCACTACTGCGGAACCTGCAGGAAGCAGTTCAGCATCCGAACCACCGCAGTGGACTGCCTTCAGGACTCGAATGTTGTCTGGGACATCAGTGATCGACACGCCGGCAGCCCACCAGGCGGCAAGCAGCCAACCAAGGGGGGCGAGCAAGCAACAGGGGGTGGCCAGCGGGGGAACAGGGGCAGCCGGAGCCAACGCCTGGGAAGGGGCGCCAAGCTCGCGGCTTTGCTACAGAGACAGCGTGGGGGTCTAACAGGAATCAGACCAAGTGAACTGAGGGTTAATCTAGGACTTCCTGTTTGGGGAGAGTGATGGGATACTGAATGGGTGCATACTGGATGATCCTGCTGCGTGTGTGCATGAAATGAGTGTTGATATGCCACAGGTACATCTCGCTGGTGAATTGCCTGTTTATTTACAAGAAGCTGTGAACATTTCAAACAGCATGGTTGGGGAATGCATGACCTTGACTGACCGCATGGCCTGGCCAGGGATCACACCTGAGGCTGAGTACGGCAATCATGAATGCAACTGGAATGCAACCGTTCGGGCTGATTTTTTGCAGACAGCCCCCAAATACCCTCACAAGGCCACGGCCCCAAGCGTGCGTCCAGATTCCGACATCGCCCAACCCAGGTTCCAGCGCCCGAGTGTCACCAGACCCCACCCGTGCAGCTGTCAGGCACCCTAGCGCCCCGGCCCAAAGTCAAGCGTTCGGGCTGACTTTTTGCAGACAGCCCCCAAATACCCTCACAAGGCCACGGCCCGAAGCGCGCGTCCAGATTCCGACATCGCCCAACCCAGGTTCCAGCGCCCCAGTGTCACCAGACCCCACCCGTGCAGCTGTCAGGCACCCTAGCGCCCCGGCCCAAAGTCAAGCGTTCGGGCTGACTTTTTGCAGACAGCCCCCAAATACCCTCACAAGGCCACGGCCCGAAGCGCGCGTCCAGATTCCGACATCGCCCAACCCAGGTTCCAGCGCCCGAGTGTCACCAGACCCCACCCGTGCAGCTGTCAGGCGCCCTAGCGCCCCGATGATGCGACGGTTTGGTGGACGAACTAAATTATACCTCCGTCACTAG